AGCGAGCAGAGAGGCCAAAGAAAGAGGCTAACAAATCCGGTTTCTCGGAAGGAAACACTGAATAGGGACGTACGAACACAAGCCCCCAAGAGACAGAGACGGTGGATCCCCACAGCCGCCTGCCCTCCAGAAAGCGTTCTTTATAAAGCAGCCTTTCAGGTTAGAGCGCGTGCAGCCAGCCCTGTCTTCAGACTTGCTTGACGTGACTTGCGACCACTGGTCAGGCTGGATGAGCATCTTGATGAGAGGTTGCCTGCGCCACAGGCATTGTCTTCAGACCTCGTTGCAGAACAGCTTGGCATGCACGAGTCAAACATCGGCCGTCACGGCAGTTTTCCTTCAGGATGGCGTCACTCTGCCCACACAGCGGGATGTCCTCCTGCAGTGGTCTTCTCCAAATCCTTGCACCTAGAACCATTTTTTCCCCTTTTTTTCTTCCTTCAGTCAGCCCTGTCGTCAGGCAGGCTTCTTACCTTGTATCACAGGATCTCTTTCCCTGTGCTGTGTGCTTTATTTCTTCAAATGGCAAGTGAGTTTCTTCTTGTACCAGGGCACGTTAGACAGGCCCACAGTGCTTTCTCTGGAATGGTTGGGGCTGTGTGTGTTTCAGAGTTCAGAACGGTTCAGGTTTTAGGAAGATAGTACGATGTATAAGAGGTGTATTATGTACTCCCCAGGTGGAGTCTAGGACGGCAGCCTGTAATCAGGCACATTCACAGAGCTCTCCAGAGAAAGGTGAGTATTCACAGTAAGTGGGATGAGTTAAGATTATAAATAGCCATGACTCAGTTTAGGTCAGATTTTGCCGCTCATTGAATATTGACATCAAGCTTAAGAGAAAACCCAGGTTTCATAATGTTTTGGATTTCAGCATTCCGGATAAGGAATTAGGAACGTACGCTGCATTTCACATGCCATAACCCCAGGCTGTTTCTCAGACTTAGCAGTTTGCCAGTGGGAAGAGCTTTGTGAACGTGAGACACGAGCTATAACTTTTAGGTTTTTTTTTTTTTTTTTTTTTTGAGAGTCTCACTCTGTCACCCAGGCTGGAGTGCAATGTTGTAATAACCATTTATTGTGGCCTCCAAGGGATCCTCCCACCTTAGCCTCTCGAGTGGGACCACAGAAGCACACCACCATACCTGGCTAATTTTATTTTTTGTAGAGATGAGGTTTTCACTATGTTGCCCAAGCTGAAATTTCTAGTTTTGATGATTATATTTTACATTATTTAAAACACTTTTCATGTTTTTAAAAAAGCAAAGCAAAACTGAGAGAATCTCCTTATTGAGCTATTTTGAATAGATTTTAAAATTTTATTTTATTTTATGTTTTGTAGAGATGGGGTCTTGCTATGTTGCCCAGGCTAGTCTCAAACTCCTAGCCTCAAGCAATCCTTCCACCTTGGTCTCCCAAAGCACTGGGATTATACATGTAAACCACCATGTTTGCCCTTAAATAGATTTTTAAATGATTGAGAATTACTTCCCAAAAAACAGTGTAAGTAAACAAATTTTGCAATTTACTAACTTTAAACTTTTTTCATTAAATGACATCTCAACCACTTTATTTAGAAGTAAATCTCTTAATACGTGAATGATATTTGGGGCATACAATTAATTCAGTGGTTTTTGGTATCTTTCCACACACAATCAATTTTAGAACACTTTTATCACACCAAAAGGAAATTTCACACCCACCACCAGTCACTCTGCATTTCCTCTTCTCCT